TCTTTCCCATCCTGTACTCTGAATCACCTCCTTTCTCCTCTAAATTGTCAGATAGCACAATGAGTGAGAGGTTGGAGTCTTCAGTTCCCTCTCTCCCAATTGGCAACCAAGAGATTTTGAGTGAAATGATGTAACAGCTTGTGCCTAAACATCCTCATCTAAAAATGGGAGAAAACAGATAAACAGAAAATAATTACATCTGCTGTGAGGATCAAATGGGATAATCTGTGTGGAATATTTGGGAAAGCCTAGAGCATATTAAATGCTAAATATTCATAATTATTCCTATCCATTTAACACTTAATCAGTGCTTGCTACTTTTTATTATCATTATTTTATTTAATTTTATTCATTATTATTTTATTAATTTGACCACACACACACATACACACACACACACACACACACACACAGAAAAATAGAGAGAAAGAGAGAGAAGGAGTAAAACTGAGAAAGCAAGGCACTAGGACCAAGACTTGAACCACAGTTGGCCATGTGGGAGTCCAGTTCTTTAACCACCATGCCTCTTGCCAGCCCCTTTTTATTTTAACATTCAGGTGTGTTTATTTTACTTCTTTTGCCTAGTCACACAGCATCTAGCATGGTACTATGCTACTTATTAAGCAATTCAACTAAAATTTTACCTGAATGAACTTAATAAGAGAAAAGGAACAGAGAGCTAACAAAGAAAAGTAACCAAATTGATGAGTTATTATCTAATAATATGAAAGTTACATTTCCCTTGTAATTCTTCAATTTCTGGTGAAGAAAGCTCAGTGCTTAAAATTCTGTTCTTTGGCCAGTAAATTTCAACTTAGATTTCACTTCTTCTCAGATTCTGCCTGCTGTCCAGTGAACAGGCTCCAAACTTGTCACAATCTTGGTCATTTTTTGATCTCCTGAGGAATATTGTATCATTATTGGCTAAAAGCAACTGAAATTTTGTCTGGTATTTGACTTTACCTAGATAGTAATTCACAGATCCATTGGATTATTGCCCAGAAAATGAAAAATAAAATCAAGAAAAAAATTAAGCCAAATCATACTAATTTCCATCTTACAGAAATGTAAGGGAATATTAAGTGAAATAGATACTAGGGGAAAGAAGAGGAAACTCCAACAGCATACATTCATTAAACTTAATAAGGAATGCGTCGTTGGCTCACTCTCTTTATCCTATAGGATTCCAACCAATTAAACGTCTCCAACTGGCAAGTTAGTAAGGTTGATGTAATGTTGTTTGTCCCTGGACAGCTGAGCTCAGCAACTCTAGTTCTATTTTTCTTTTCCAAATGGTAGTTAAAGAAACATTCCTTGAACAAATGTAATCTGATTGCTATGCTTTAAGAATTTTAGCTCACATTTTCCTTATAGCTCTACTTATTAGTCCATGGTGTCTGTACATTTGATTTTTGTAGGTCCAGGTGTAAAATGTTAGCAGAAAGAACTGTATTAACCCATAGTGGTCCAAAAGAGGTCCATGGAGTTGACCTTCAATGAAAATAAATTTTTTACCTCATGTGCGTACATATTTTAGTCCACTAGTCAGGTATTATTCTATTATATTCTCTATTTATTTTTGATTTGAGAGTATTTCTCTTCTTCTTTTTTCTCTTCCTTCTCCACCTCTTCCTCTATCAACTTGAAAGTTTCAATGGGCACAAAGGTTAATTTACAAATCCATTTTTTAAAAGAATGAGTTGTAATATATACTATTCTGTAACTTTATTCTCCTGACAGTACATCATGGACATTCCTCTAGATTAGCTGACACAAAAGGAAGAAAACAAAGAAAATTCTTTTCTTTTTCTTTTCTTTTTTTAGAGAGTATTTTTGCTATAGGGCACGTGTGCTCACCAGACAGACAGAGACAGAGAGACAGAAAGTGAGAAATCACCCCCCAGAGGGGATGGTCACGCCGCAATCCCTTCTCCTCCATTCTCCTCTCGGGATCTTGGGCACGCACGCACACGCGCCCGGCGTGAGTTTTAAGCCACCGGGTCCGGGATGCGAACCGCGGTTGACTACGTGAGAGTCCAGCGACATAGCCATTACGCTAACTGCTGGTTCCTGAAAACAAAGAAAATTGTTAGAATCTAGCTCATTATTTTTAAGACCAGTACAATAGTCTATAGTGCAAATATATCACTTTTTTTCCTATTCCTTTCATGGATAACCAGGTTGGTTTCAGCTTTATTTTACTCTAACAAGATGGAAATCAATATTTTGTTTATGTTTTTACATATGGGTACTGGTACTTTGGGTTCAATAGACCTATATGTTAATATTCTCCTATATAGAGGTATAGATGCTGCCAAAATGTTCCTTTTACCTCTATTTGATTCCATTACACTAGATTTTTCTGATAAAAGTTTTTCTTAACACACAAAAATAACAAAACATTATGCCTTGCTTTTCTCATAAAACTTCAACCTGGAAATAAAATGTGTGCCAAATCACTCTTGTTTTCATTGTTACCATGCCATTTCAAGGATACTTTCCTGGATTTTTACCCTCAAACTTAGGACAGAATAATGTGTGGGCTTTGTCCACTATACAGATGATCATATTTGTGAACTCCGTTGTATCTGGGAACAAAGAAAGCATTATCGATCACATGTGTATTTAGTCTATAAGAAGACTTATTGGTTTCTGAAATTTCGTAAGTCAAATCTACAAACCTTTTACTTGGCTTATTTCCAAATATTGGTTTGCATATTGAGTCAGCACAATTTTTTCTTAAATTATTGTAATAATGTTCAATATCTGTCATGAGTGTGTGTCTCTGAAATAAGGGTGAGAATTTTTTTCTACTTTGCTCTGAATCACCAGTTTATTGGCTAGTCTCTCAAGTGAAGTTGTTTGACATGCATAAGCACATTTCTAGTTGATACAAGAATATTTCCTAATAAGGAGGGAAAAAAAGGAAAAGCCTTCAAGTCTAGAAAAGACCATTTTTTTAATTTATTGACTATTACATATAAGAGTCCATGTAATTCGATAACCCATGAGATAAATATTTATAGATGAAAAACTAAAGATCAGAGAGACTAAGTACTTGATTAGTGTCTCATAGTAATTAGGAAAGCCCAGATTTGACCTCGTATCCACATGATTCTGATGCTCACACTCTAAAGAGTAGCGTATCCTCAGTTTCCATGGAGCCTGACTCACTGACCATAAGTTTTGCCCCAAACATTTTTTTTCTCATGTAGTTCAAAGTTATATGTTAGTTTGAATCAGCAGTGATGATACAGATATGAAGGTAAAGTTTCAGTGACTACGGTATGTCTATCCAACTGGAACGGAATTTTAACATTAGCTAAGACATCTGGTCTACTGTTGGAGAGGACAGAAGTTATTTTGGGTCCTGATGAGCTGGTGTTTTCTGAGCTTGACATTATTTCCAGGAGCTCTGATGGTTAGTGGCAGGACCACTTTACAGGGAACATTTTTCAGTCTCAGACTTTATCCTCTTCTTATGGAAGATATTTATACCCTGGTGTATTTAAGCTTCTCAGTTAAAACTAAATCAATGTTATATGACCTGCTGAGTGAACAAACACTTTTTTCTCCTTTTGTTTCTTTAACCCTGAGGCTTATTTAAGAAGCGAACACCATTTTTCTTTAAGATTTCGAACAGGCACAGTGGAAAGTACCTTGAATGTTTCATGCTTAATAAACTGTTGCTCATGGGGAGAAAGGGGATGGTAACATTCTAATTCTCATTGTCTTCAGTTAAGATTATTCTTGAATAATTTGAGCATTGATAATTGTTGAAACTTTTTCAGTAACAGAAAAATTAATCAGGAATCGTATTATCTCAGAGACAACACATTTTCTTCCATGACCTGTCAGGAAATGCATAGACTTGGTTTAATAGGGAAAACTGTAGAGGATTTTGGCTTTTTTTCCCCTCTGAATATGAGGGCTAACTGTAATGCCTTGGTGAGTTCAGTTCTTAAATGAGCTGATCCTATTTTCTTCTTTCTCATAGCATTAGGTATTTCTTAAACTATTGGTATATATAAAAACACAAACTCACTGTTATAAAAGTTAATACAGGAAGAGACCTAAGGGATCCGTTTTGGGTGACAATTTACTAGGAGTGGAGGGATGAGTGGGGTAAGGCTCTTTGTAAATGGCAGAAGAATTTTCTCAATTCTTCTATGGCCATTCAAGTCTTTGGGGGAGGAAATTAAGCACCACATAGAACCTGTAGTTTTTATATGTTGAAGTTAAAACTGGACTAGTACGTGCTGGTCCCTCCACCAGCATCACAAACATCCCTGGCATTTAGCCAAGCTCTAAAGCCACCAAACCGGGTCACCTGCGACTGGTGACCATCCAGAGAGCTCAAGACACCAAGGCTGAAAGAAAGGGAAGTGGCTGAGACCACAGACGCGCCATGAGAGGCTTCTCGATCTGCGAAGATGCCCCGTGAGCATAGCTCTTGCAAAGGTCGCTGTTGCCCAATGAAGGGCATTCCCACAGCTGCATGCAGGCAGGGTGAGACGCGCACACCCACACACCTCAAATTCAGAAAGCAGGGCACATGGCAATCTTGCCCATTACCCCGCTATGTGAGAGCGCTTTCTGCAAAGACCGCGAGCATGTTCCTTCTTTTTTTCTCACCTTCCTAGTTTCCAAACTTGGGACTGGGTGACGCTTGGTTGCGCTCAGGGCTCGAGCCTTCCTAGTGTTGCCCTGGAAGCCTAGGGTAGCTCTGATGTGCCCAGGAGACGCTCAAGCATCTCGCGCGCCTTCCAAGCTCCCAGAGAGGACAAAGGGGGTCCGAATTCGAGTAAAGAATCTGCGGGCTGCGAGGAGATGGACTCTAGGTCTGCGGTGGGGGACATTATCCAGGAACCCCTTCCCCTGGGCACTCACCATTTGTAGCCTCTGCCGCGCTTGAACTTGAGTGTGAGCGCGGTCTCCAGAAACAGCAAGAGGTTGAGCAGCGCGAGCAGCCAGTACCGCGGCTCCTTCTTCACCTCGGTCACTCGCCAGACCCCGACCAGCGAGTGCAGCATGAACAGCAGCCGGGTGGCCAGGGCATTGAGGAGGACCAGTCCGTCCATGCTGGCCCGTGCGCGCCGCCCGCAGCCACTCGCCTACGCCCCGCCAACCCCGCCGGGAGCTCCCGAAGCCCGCCAGTGGGCAGGAACGTGACAGCACCGAGACCTCCGCTGCGGTGGTCCCTTCTCATCCTCCGGCGCCGGACGCCGGGAGAACAGGAGAGCAGCTCGCCCCTCCCCCAAACTTCCTGAGAACTCTTCCAAGTGGGGGGAACCCAAACCCAGCTTTGCGAGGCTGCTGGGCTTTCCAGGGAGTCTGGGGCTCCGCCGCCTCTGCTCCTAGGCGTTATTCTCCGGGCTGCCCATCCCCCCTCTCAATTCCGGGAGCCAGTTTCCATCCCTCTCCTCGATCCCCACCCCCGGACACTGTGGGGTCCACAAGAAATTTCCCCACTCCCCCTTCCAGGGGCTGGAAAGAACTGCGAGGTGGACAGGAGGTCAAGGTGCTGATGAGCCAGCAAGGCGGAGGGAAGCGCTTCTGCGCCACCTTACTTTCCACTCAAGTCCTGCGGTTCACGCGCACGCTTCACAGGACCACGCTCTCAGGATGCCTCGAAGCTGGGAAGCAGAAGGGCTAAAGAATCCGCTGTCCAAGCACTTACAGAAACAGTTCCTGCCCAGTTTGAAGAATTGAAACTTCCCAGGACTAGAGGAAGTCAGATGCTCCCAGCTTCCTGAGAACTTCTTGCACCCCTCTCAGTGGACGCGTAACCCTGGCCACTTCTACTTTTTGAGCCTGATTATTAAAATCGGGATATTCTTAATTATGCCACCTTACCCTCAACTCCAGCCCCCAAAGAATACAGGCTAATGAGATAAGAGGTCAAGGAGCAACTGAGGGAGAAAACAGAAGATAAAGTCAATAGGAAATTAGAAGGTGTGATGCACGACCCGCAAACCTACGTTCTTGGGATCCTGACCATGGATTAAACTCTGGTCTTTGCATCATCCAAGGCAGGGTTTCCTAAAACACCTTCAGGATTGTTGTGCTCTTGTTCAATGTCCTACCACCTGCACTACTAGTCGTTTAACATTTTCCTTTAAATGGACTTAGTTTTTACTGGAATGAATTTATTTTAGAGGGCCAGCCTGTGGTGTTGTGGTTAAGGTGGCTCCATCCCGCACATGGCCAACTGGCAATTCTAGTCCTGGACTGTGGCTTGAGAAATGTGCCAGGCCCATGTGCACCATAATGCTTAAAATCTCCAAAGGAGGGAAAAATAAAGGAGAAGGGATTGCAATATGATCAGGCCCCAAGGTGGGTCTTTCCACTTTTCCTCTCTGTCTCTCCCTCAGTGAGCACACATGCCCTCTGGCAAAATTTAAAAAATAAATAAAATTTATTTCTGAAAGAACTTTTCTGTCATTTACAAATGGAAAGTCAGTACAATTGTCTATAGGTGGAAAGCCATTACAAAACTAATTAAAATAAAATGAACTAAATTAATGACTCTCCCTAGGTATTAATTATTGTCTTCCCAAGCTCTATGCCTCAAACCTCTCTTTTTGGTTATAGAGGGAAAGGGAGACGTTACTCATGTTTCCGCAAAACAGAAATGTGCTCTTTGACTGTATTAGTAAGACTTGAAGCAAAATGAAAAGAGAGTATCTTCCCTGGCTAGGTTTATTCAACTTCAATCATCTCATACTTTTCTTAAACTCAAGTTGAAAACTTTGGGATTATGTGATTAATGTCTGCATTAGGTGAAAAAAAAAATCCAACTGCTTAGAAGCTTAGAAGTTATTTCTGGTACTGAGAGCTGAGAGGTTTTTTCCCTGTGGCTCCACGTTTTTCCACAACATCTTTCAGGAAACCCAGCAACGATTTCCTGGGGCTGTTTATTGTCGTGTCCTTCAGTGTGGGCTGACAGCACAGTGACCACACACAGTACAGGAGCGGAAAAGCAGAGCAGGTAGCCACGCAGTGGGAGGAGTGTGGAGGTGGTGGTCAGAGCCCCAGCACCTCCCAGCAGGCGGCCCTGGGCTGCTAGCTCAGGCACTTAGTAGTCCTTCGGCTTTTATACCTCAGTTTCTTCACAAGAAAATTGGGCACTGTCTACTCCTGGGGGTCATTGTGGCAATCAATGTGGTATTCATTTTACACACACACACACACACACACACACACACACACACATATGTGAAATATTATAAAGTGCCTGGCAGATAGTAAGTGTATATGCGTGTGTGTGTATACACACACATACATATATATACTATACACGTATATACTATATATATATATACACACACACATACACTACACACATATACTATATATATATACTACACATGTATATACTATATATACATATATACTACACACATATACTATATACATATATCTTAAGTGCCTCACAATAAGTTATATATAAATTTATATAATTATATGTATATACATAATTTTATTATACTAATTATATATATATACTTATATATAATTGTATATATGTAAGATCATGTGTGTGTATATATGTATATATACACATGCATACATATTAAGTGCCTGACAGATAGTACTTGACAGACATCGACAACTGTTGATCAGGCCAAGAAAGTCCAGGGGAACTGCTCTTTGATGATTCAAGACAGTAATGATAGTGGCATAGAGAAACATGACATTCCTAGGGCCTGTCCAAACACTCCTGCTGGGGCCAGCCCTGAGATCTAGTAGTTAAGGGAAAGTTGGAGACCATGTGGCCAACAGAGAAGATCAAATCCAGGACTCAACAGCTTGAAAATCATTCCAGACACATGTGCATGCATGTCCCAAAGGCTAGAGAAATGGAGAAGGGATTGCAGCATGGTCATCTCCCACTGGGGGGGTACTTTCTTCCCCCCTTCTCTTTCTTGTCTCTCTCTGGCAAGCACACACAGCTTCTGGCAAGTTAAAAACAACAACCAAACCAAACCAAACCAAACAAAAAAGCCCAAAAAACAAAAAACCTCCAGAAGAATATCACCAGGAACACATCTAGAGCTGAACAAGCTGGGCTTTTACTTTTTTTAGGAAGGGAGACATATTCCATAGGAAACTATTGGGACATCATTAGAAAAGTTGAAAAGTATTAGAAACAATTTATTAGAAAGCATTTGGCCTTGAATCAGGTGATTCTGGGAGCATAAGGAAGTGGAGCTTTACTCCAGATTGGATGCTATCAGTAAGTGAGGGCAATGTTATGATTGGGTATCTTGCTCAATCTAATTTATGTGGGGGAATGTCTGGTCATCTTGTGGTCTGTACAATATTCATGTTTTTACTGTGTTCAGATATGATTATGGAACAGTTTTATTTGTGTCTTGAGCCATCACGATCACTGACTGGCCTTGCCAGATGTAGTGATGTTTCATGTTCAGAGGAGGAGGGCGAAGAGGTGCCAGAACAACTGCCTGTTGCCAGGGGTTACTTTTCACTTACTCAGGCCTACTAGGAACTCTTCAGGAGAAGGATTTTTTTTAAAAGAGGCTCCGGGATCAGATGATAGCGCAGTAGTAAAACAGTGATGTCCTGCAAGGCAGGCCCGCATGGGAGAGTTCTGAGTTTGTGTCTGGAGATCTTCCTGAGTAGGTTGGGCGGGTGTGAGCCCATGATCTGGGGCTGGCTGAAGTCGTGGGTGAATCTCAGCATCAAGACCCTATTGAGTATGCTGTATCTCTCTCTCTCTCTCACACGCTCTCTCTCTCTCTCACTCTCTCTGTCTTTGGGGGAGGGTGTGTATGTCTCTCACTGCCGGGGTCCAGCCTCGGCGTGGGTGGGTTATCTCGACGAAGGCGGCGAAGGTGAACAGAAGACAGAGGACTCGATGCCTTTCATGCACGTCCTATGCCGGACACCCCTCAGAGGTCGCCCTCTGAGGAGTGACAACTGTTAGGAATCATTGTGCCTTTTTATTGAGAATGTGTTACATATAGGTAAATGGGAGAGGGGCTAGTGTTTCAATTAACAGCTCATAAAGTTTTTAACAATAAAGAACAAAGATTTTATTCAGGGTTGGATTAAAGGTGGGTCTAGTGCAATTTCTATTCAGGGGTGGATTAAGGGTGGGTCTAGTGCAGTTCCTCAATTGTAGGTGGGTCTCCATGGAATGCAGTTTCGGGAAAGCAGTTCTAGTAAGCAGATGCGGCGCAGGAGCCATCTTATAATTACTAAAAATAGTGCTGAGAAAAAAAAATCTCAAAAATAGATATTAGTTCTTATAAATCTTAATAAAAAATAATACTTATACACAGTTTTGTAGGGATCTAAAACTTAATTTGAGGAGTCCTAATACATTTATCTATTTCACTTAGAGAGGGCAGAGGTGTCCTGGGCCAGTTTTGGCCTAATCCTATTGTACATAAAAAAAGGAAAAATTTAAGGGCCTTCTAAAGGTCAAAATTACTTCTGCCTAGAAAAAACTTCAGCCCACCCTCTATTGTGACCATAGAGATAAAGCACTGTAATTAATAGTAAGTAATCAGAGCTAAGGGGAGCGGTCGGGGACTTCCTAAAAAATTTTATCACATACTCAAGATGTATAAGAGAGCTATGCAATTCTTTCATAGTAGTAAATTGGGGAGTCAGAGGGGGGTCGCTTTCCAGTGAGGCTGCCTCAATTCTCTAGAGCAAATAGCAGGCAGCCTTGCTGACATGCTAACTGACCCAAGCTTTGTTCTAAGGTCGGGGGGTGCACAACAGTGGCCTTGCCAACGTGTTGATTCGACCAAAAGCGGAGCTCAAAGGTCGGGGAGCTCAGACAGATCCTGGGGCCTCACCGGGTCAGACTCCTCCATCTCACCCATGGGAAAAAATAAAGTAGAAAAATTAATAATAACAAAGAGGTCAGCCATGGTGGCACAGCAATAAACAATGCTCCATGATGAGGAGGCCATGTGGGAAAGTCCCAGGTTTGTCCAGAGGTCTCCTTGTGCATTCTGGGAGTACATACGCTGTTATCCTGGGTGGCCGAGGCTGAGGATGAATCACTGTGTGAAGATTCCACTGAGGGTCTCTTTCTTTCTCTCCCAGAAGAAAGAAAGAAAAAGAAAGTAAATTTTAAAAAACAAACAAAAAAAAGGTAGGTCAGTCTGACATCTTCCAAATATATTTGTTTCTTATTTTAAAGGTTTAGATTCAGTGTAGGTTCTATTGTCTCTGGATCTGAAAAACAAAACTATTATTAAGAAGATTTTAAAGGTTATTTCTTTTTTAATTTTCTCCTAAGCCCATTTTAAAAGTCTGGAGGCTTTGAGAAATACCTTGAGACTTCCAATCTAATAGCCCAATAATCTTTTAAAAAGAAAAATAATTAAGCAATTAATAAAACCTACTCTTCTTGAAAAAGCAATTTCAGACTCATGCACCTAGTTCTTGTGGTACTGGTTAGGATTTCACTAAAGTCAAACCGGCTCATCCCGTTGTCCCAGAGAGCAGTAATCCCCAGGCCTGTCTTACCTACTGAACCCAAACTACTGAACATATAAGGGTATCCAAAACATTCATGGAAAGCATGTATTATGGAAAATCTCTGCATGGATTTCAATTTTTTTTTGGGGGGGGGGTCATGGAGATAAACCTGTACTTCAATTGCGTTTTTCCACTTTTTGAAATACCTAGTAGTTGTCAACCTTCTCTTTCGATTAGAATTATTTTGGTTAGGACCAGCAGATGGCATAGTAGTTATGTTGCTGGACTCCCACATGGCTGACTATGGTTTGAATCCCAGACTCGTGGCGTCAAAATCATGCCAGGTACATGTATGTGCAAGCCTAAGATCCTGGGAAGAGAAC